AACAAATTATGGACAACATTGCAAAGAATGGGAATTCCAGAACACTTAATTATGCTCATGAAGAACACATACAGAGACCAAGAGGTTGTCATTCAAATAGAACAAGGGGGTACTCCATGGTTGAAAATCAGGAAAGGTGCATGTCAGGATTGTATTCTTTATTCAATCTGTATGCTCAGCAAATAATCTAAGAAGCTAGACTATAAAGAAGAATGCAGCATCAGGATTGGAGAAAGACTTGTTAACAACCTGTGATATGCAGACAACACAACGTTGCTTGTTGAAAGTGAAGATGACTTGAAGCATTTACGGATGAAGATTAAAGAGCACAGCCTTCAATATGGATTACACTTCAACATAAAGAAAACAAAAATCCTCACAACTAGAGGAATATGCAACATTAGAATGAATGGAGAAAAGATTGATTGTCAGGGATTCCATTTTACTTGGATCCACAGTCAACATCCATGTAAGCAGCAGTCTAGAAATCAAACATCATATTGCACTGGGTAAATCTGCTGCAAACTACCTCTTTAAAGTCGTAAGAAGTAAAGATGTCTTTCTGAAGACTAAGGTGCGCCTAATCCAAGCCATTGTATTTTCAATCACCTCATATGCGTGTAAAAGCTAGATAATAAATAAGGAAGACAGAAGAGTTGATGCCTTTGAATTGCATTGTTGGTGAAGAATACTGAAAATACCATGGACTATCAGAAAAATGAACTAATCTGTCCTGGAAAAAGTTCAGTCAGAATGCTCCTTGAAAACAAGAATGGACAGACTGTCTCATGTTCTTTGGTCATGTTGTCAGAAGGAACCAAGAAGGATATCATGCCAGGTACAGTAGACCAAAGTAAACCAAACAAAACTTACTGTTATCGAGTCAAATCCAACTCATAGCAACCACTCCTTGGGTTTCCAAGGCAGTATCTCTACAGAAGTAGATTGCCCAGTCTTCCTTCCAAGGAGTAGCTGGTGGGTTTGAACTGCCAGCCTTCTGGTTAGCAGTCAAATGCCTCAGACGCTATGCCACCAGAGCTCCCAGTAAAGTAGAGGGTTGGCGAAAAAGGGGAAGACCTTCAATGAGATGAATTGATACAGTGACTGCAACCATGGGCTCAGGCAGAGCAAAGATTGTGAGGATGGCACAGAACCAGGCAATATTTTGTTCTGTTGTACATAGGATTGCTATGAGTCAAAGCCAACTAGACAGCACCTAACAATGTCTACAACATGCATACTTTTGACCTAGAAAAAGTCCTTCAGGCAAGGACTGTGCCTTCTTTGGATCCACCTCTGGCAACAATACACAGGCCAGCACTTAACACTACTGAGTGCCTTGCTCATCAATGAGCAAGAAATCATCAATGTTGAGAAAGAAGGCTAGAAACTGAATTTGGGTGTCTGATTTGATCTTGCCCTCAGCAGTTCTGGAAAGTGTTGACTGTGAATGCAAAGGGCCTTCACAGTCATGCTGCCTCACACCCAAGATGTCTACACCCTTAACTCCAGAACTGCCCCGAATAAGAGGCATGTCAGTATGTGGTCCTGGGTTTGCTCAGGGAGCGTCATCTCCCAGATCTGTCCTTGGTTATGGCCCACAGCCCACCCTTTCAGTCTAGAGTCGAAAGCAGATTAAGTGACATCTGCTTACCCAGAACTGACTGAGGAACTTCTACATTTGGCTTGAGGCCCTTCAAGAAAACTGTGTGTTTGGCTTTTTCGAGCTCTTCACACATATACTTTTGTTTTTAGCACACTGTTGATGAGGTTGGGAGAAAAACAGAATAATCTTTGAGCATTTTATCTTAACTAATTTCTCTTCTGGCTTTTATTTTTAAGTCACTTACTGCCTTTTTTCAGCCTTCACCACAAAATTTAACTGGTGTTTTCAACTCTCAACTTTTTTTTTTTTTTTTTTGCACTGACATTGACATTCTTCATGTTGCTTTGGTTTTCAGCATATAATTTCTACCTTAATTTTGCTCAGTTTCCATCGTAAGGGCTGCATTTGTTTCTCTGGTCTGTAGTTATGTCAGTGGACACGATGCCACTATCTGGGTAAGTTAAATTGCTCCTCGCTTAGGCCAACTTCATTTTCCCAGTGCTTTAGTTTCACAGGTTTCAATCATATCTTATCTTCTCTGTTTCTGGAATGTATGTCCAGATGAACAACAGAGACCTCCTCTACCAGGCCTCTCTATGCAAAATGTTCAAATGTTTAATTGCCACAAAACAGCCTGCGTTGCTTTGAATGAGGAGACACCTAACCCTAATGCTAACCTTGACCCCAGTCAGAAAATGGCTAGTACCCATATTCATTTCCCCCCATTACAGTGTTTGGGGCAATATGCTTAGCGACTACATTTTGTAACAGCTACATTTATAACCAGTCAGCTGTGGTTGCCATGCATCCTTAAAGAATGATAAATTGTTTCCTGTCCTATGCATGCTTTCAAATACACCCAGAGACAGCTTCCCAAAGCATGTGGAAGAATAATAGCTCCCTCTTTTGAAATTGAAAAAACTGGTCAGGGAGGGGGAAGACGAAGTTTGCACATCCACCAGCATAAGCCTCATCGTTACCATCCTCTGGCTTGTCTCTAGGAAATGGTGAATGGGGCAGACAAGATTTCTAGGAACATACATTTTATAAATATAGTTAGATCTATTAAGGATATATTAACAAGAAATAACAATAGATGAATTAGAATAATTTATATTTTATACAATAGTAATAATATCTATTTTCTTAGCATTGTACAGTGAAACAAAAAAAACTTCATGTACATGAGTTAATCTTGTTCACAGTAGTTTCAGAAAGTGTTGACCCTGAATGCAAATGGCCACCACAATCATGCTGCCTCATACCCAAGTTTTCTGCATCATTAATTCTAGAACTGCCCTGCAGAGGCAGCTTGCCAGTATGTGGGACTCTGGTTTGCTAGGGAAGAGTGATCTTTTTTAAGAAAAAAAAACCCTAACACAGGTAAGATGAATATAAGCATTCCCAGTTTACAGATGAAAAAACACAGTGTCTCTGAGCCAAAGACACTAGGTTAGTGATTGTCGGTTATCATCATTGGTTGCTGGCAAGTCAATTCCCACTCAGGGAGCCCCTATATGTGCAGAGTAGAACTGCTCCACAGCTTCAAGGCTGTGACCTTCTGAAAGCAAATTGTCAGGCCTTTCTTCTGAGGTGCCTTTGGATGGATTAGAATTGCCAACCATCTTGTTATTAACCACATGTACCACCAAGGGAACCGAATGATTGCCAGAGTCAGGACTAAAATACTAGTCTTCTGATGTGGACCAAGATTCTCTTTATTTCATCATACTGTTGTAAGCAGGAAGGGAATATAGGAATTTCAGATTTAGAGCCTGGACTTGGGTGATGGTTCATTTATATGGAGAAGACGTGCTAGATGAGATGTGAGAAGTTCTAGGGAAGCTTATTATTTTAAGAAAACACATTTTCTTCAAACCAAGGAGCAGCATTTAAAGATGTGTTGTAAATGAAGTTCCATAGACAGCCTGCTGGTGGCAGGAGGAGTTGTGGAGTACTGTCATATTCCATTTACAAAAACCTCCCCCCCCAAAAAAAAAAAAAATTTAGATAAAACTTGATAGGGGATTATATAGCCAATTGCAAGGATAAGTTTGAGTTGGTATGATCTGATATGCAGATAGTTTATCCGTCTCTAAAAGTCAAAGCCACAATATCTAGGGCCGACATCTGGAAATGTATATGAGAACTCTCTAGCCTGAAGAGTTCCCATCCTGCTAGTAGGTCACAGCTCCTAACATGAACTGCAGCTTCCCAGTCAGTACAAAAGTCTACAATTACAACCATTCTTTGGAATCCTCTCAGCAAAGGGAGGACATTCCTTGGCTGGTTTAGAAAAACCAGTACAGAGTTGCACAGAGAAAGGAATGCAGTCTGGATGAAGGGCCAATGATTAACGGATTATGTCAAGAAAGAAAAAAAGAAAAGGCAGAGAAAAGAGGTTTTAAAAACACAATTCTGCCACAACCTCAAAAATGCTTAAGGGAGTAGTGTGGGTGAGAAGGTAGGGAATTGGCAGAAGTAGTGAACAGGAAATAGGATTAAATAGAGGAAGAGCTGTGTCACCAGGAGTGGCCTGGCTAAAGGAATGGAACCTTAATCCCAAGCCCTTAGGTCTACATAGCAGTTGTAACTTTCCAAGACTATCCACAATTATTATCTCATCTGGTTAGGAAAAAAAAAAAAAAAAAACAACCTCAGTAGAGTCAGGCAGGCACACACCATTTTCATTTTATAGATGACAACTGAGTTTTGGTGAAGTTAAGCATTTTATCCAGGGTCACAATGCAGGGAGAGTTCAAAGTGGAACTCTGATTTGTAGGCCAGGTCCCTTCCACCAGGGGACACTGCCCTTCCACAGAGGGTAAAAGGTCTTGATCCAGGGCCCTTGGGTAATGGGATTGACTCAGGAAGGGCTAAGGAGGAGTTCTTTGAACTTCTCATCAGAAAAAGATGAACGGGGAAGACCATGTCTGGCAGGGCTGTGCCAGGGACTCTGGGAGGAAAGGCTAGAGAGGTCCAGAAGAAATAGGAACAGGAACAGGTCTGAGACAGTGCTCAGAAGATGAAGAGGGAAAGTCCAATTTGGGAGATGGGAAGGAAAAGGCCAGCTCTGGCATGTGACAAGGCATGGAAGGAAGGACAATGGCCTGTGGAAAATAACTCTGAGACTTCCTGCTTAAGGAGTCAATGAAATGCTGCTACTGCCCACTGCTCCTGTCAGGTAAATCCATTCTCTTGGGTAGGAATTGCTTTACAATTTCAGCAGAGATGCCTAATGGATCACACAGACATAATTTTTAAACAGTGTGTTCATCTCACACCAATAGATGACATGTCAAGATGCCCTGTGAAAGCTTATCAGAGACCACAGGTGCTCAGCACTCCTGACTGAAGTGGCAGAGGAATGATCTGAGGTCTGCCCCGTGCTCACCTCCTGGATATTCTGCTTCACCCGGCTGTCTGACGGATGCATGATTGTCCCCATCACTTTCATGTTGCCACAGACAACCAGGGCTTCATCTGGTGTCTCTGTGTTTATTCCTACTCGGCCACGACAGACAACAGATTCTGGAACTTGTCCTCGCTGCCATAATGCATCATTGTCGTTTTCAAATTGCCCAGGGTTAGAGGCCTGGAAATATATAAAGAAATACATTACAATTAAAGTTACAGAAGTGGGAATGGACCAACACTTCACTCTTCATAGCCAAGGAAAACAACAGAATGTTATCCAAGTCTTTCACATGACATATCCAAATAGCTCTAGGGTCTCAGGAGAGCCGAGGAGGCTCTCCTAACTACTCTGCTCCCACTAGCAGGAGCTCTGTAGGCCATGGTTTGGAGAATCCAATCTCTGCTACATATATCTGGAATTGAGAATGTGCTCAGTCATACCTGATGGATGATAAGGAAGAAGAAAACTCATAATGACTATCATTTAAAACCAGATCATTATATCAAACAATGTTATAAGCTTATTAAAGCTCATATAAATTAAAATAGCTTACTTTTAGCTAGCCCTTTCATAGTTTCAAACATTTTCATATTTACAATTGATTTACATATTTACATTTGTCAAGCAAATGACAATACAAATAATCTCATGTACCCTTCCCTGTCCAAAGATGGTGCTGAAGAATTATAAGAGCTACATTTGTTGTGTACTAAGCCATACCACAATTCTATGAGCTATGTATTGTTATGCTCATTTTATTGCTACTGAGGTTCAGAAGGGATAAATAAATTGACTCCAAGCCTACAAAATTAGTATGTTCTAGAGCGGAAATTATACTTCCTCTGATTATTAAATAATTGATCATATTAATTACTATTGTTTCATGGTGTCACCTTGTTGTAACCCTGGCCAAATGTGGTCTTCAAGAAAATCCAACTATAAATATTGGACTAGACAAAGTTCTGGAGATTTTACTGTTACATAAAATTGCTAACTGAAGAATTTTCAATTATATCCCTTTTCTTTTTCCCAACTGTCTTATACCAGCTGAATGTATTTCTAAATATCTCTACATAAACCGATCAAAAACCAAACTCACTGCCCTCAAGTCAGATCCAAGTCATAGCGACCCCTCATTGAGTTTCCGAGGTGGTATCACTATAAAAGTAGATTGCCCCATCTTCCTTCCGAGGAATTTCTTAAAAAAAAAAAAAACCCATACTAACCTTACAGGACAGAGTTGTTGTTGTTGTTGTTATATGCCATCGAGTTGGCCCCGACTCATAGTGACCCCTCCTTGGGTTTCCGAAGCAGTATCACTATGGAAGTAGGATTGCCCAACCTTCCTTCCGAGGAGTGGCTGGTGGGTTTGAACCGCCAGCCTTCTGGTTAGCAGTCAAGTGCCTTAGGCACTATGCTACCAGAGTAGCACTGTCTAATAGGGTTTTCAAAGCTGTAAATCTTTATGGAATCAGACTGCCACATCTTTCTTCTTCACAGACAGGTTGGTAGGTTCCAACTGCCAAACTTTTGTTTAGCAGCCCAGCACTTAATCACTGTGCCATGAAGTCTCTTTCAAAGTCCTCACAATGAAATTAATTTGTATTGTAAATTATGGCATATTCCTCTAATTGGGAATTTTGTGTGTTTGAGGCAGGTTGTCACACACTGAGATCAACATCTAAAAAGTCAGCACTAGGGCAATAATTTCACTTTTTGCCTTTCGTTACGCTGTGTGAGACACTGCAAGCTCAGCACCTATGTCTGCATGAACATCTCTGAAAGAATTCTCAAGAAACCTACAACAATGGTTTCCTCAAGGATGAAGACCTGAAGATGGAGAAACTGGGTGGAAGATTCACCATTCACTTTATGCCATATCCTCTGATACTGTTTCAATGTTTTTACCATGTGCATTTGTTTCTACTTTAAAAAACAATGAAAAGAAATCACAAAGTGTATTTCTTACTTTGTGGTAGTTAAGGGTTCTGTGGCAGTTAAGGTTATGTGTCAACTTGAGTTGACTGGCTAGGCAGCTGGATGTAGTTATTCCCCATGGTGAGACCGGTAATAAAATCTATGGCAGAATATACTGGAGCAGTTGAGTAGCTGCCTTGGGGATATGGTCTGCTTCCAGTACATAACAAGACAGCTTTGAAAAAGGTCTCTGAGCTTTTGGCACATCTGGATCCTGCATTTGGCCAAGTCTTCATCCCAAGTCTGCCAATCTTGGGACTGTTAATGGACTTGCATTATTGGCCTGGCACGTTGCTTGATAATTATGGGACAGTGCCAATTTACCTGTCAACCTTGGGTTTGTCAGCCTCAGCATAGAGCAGCTGTCTAAGTTAAAAGAAGCCTCCAGCTTCAGTGGGCCAAGAGCAAGAGGCAGAGCTGAAGCCCAAGGTCAAGGGGCTTTCACCAAGCCCAAGAGCTGGCACCTTGAACTTGGACTTGTAGCCTCCTAAATGGCAAGAGAATAAATCCCTGTTTGTTCATGCCATCTAATTGTGGTATTTTCTATTAGAGCAGCACAAGAGGGCCCAAACAGGGGTTTTTGTTTGGTTTGTTTGGTTGGTTTTTAAGAGCTTTTAGATTTTTTCAACTTCCTATTTCACTCCCACCTATCTGAATCCTTGAAGACTCAACCTTAGACACTTGATAAACAAAAAGCAGTGAGAGAATACAAAGTAACAAATCTAAACATTACATTGTGTAAATTCACTTGAACAAAGACCTTTTCTGCAAGGTCCCCAGAGCCCCCTGGTTGTAAACAGCAAGTTGGCTTTGACTCAAATCCTTTTATAGCAAATAATCAACTAAATCCAAAGGTACGCCATATAAAATGTTGACGTATTTTGCTCTACTCTGAACATAATGCGCCACTTCAAGGAAACAAAATAAGACAATGATGGATTTTTTTCTTAATGAGCTTGAGATAATTATTATCATGTTAGTAACTTGATACTGAAACAGCATATATAAACAGATTTTATTTTTTAGAATAATTATAACAATCTTACTTGGCTTGTGTTAGATAAAAACTCAGTCCCTAAAATAGATTCAAAACATTTTGGAAAGGGCCACAGATTTATGATGGTCCAAGTACATAACCTAACAGAGCAGTTCTCATCAGTAATCGGAAATGTTATTATCAGATGTGGGAACTTATTAACCTTCTCTGAAATCTGCAATCTTAATAGTGTCAAAGCAAACTTTAGTACACACCTACTTCTCATTTATTGAATACTACTTGCTTTCCAACATTTCACATTTATGACAATAGTGAAAAAAAATCTTTATCTATTTTGTACACTAAGGTTTTGTGTCAACTTGGCTGAGTTATGATTCTCAGTAGTTTTGGCAGTTATGTAATAATGTAATTTGGCAATTATATGATCATGTAATTTGGCAGTAATCCTCCATTTTGTGCTCAGGTGTGGTCATCCTCCATTTTTGCCTATTTTTTTGCATAACAACCTGGGTTTTTGGAACCTAACCATGTCAGTAAGTGAAGAGAACATATATTATTTGTGCAGTTATGAAGCTGATGGCACAAACAATTAAGTGCACAACTGCTGACAGAAAGGTGGTGGTTTGAAATCGCCCAGCACCTCTATGGGACGCAGACCTGGTAATCTCTTCCTAAAAAGATTACAGCCAAGAAAATCCTATGGGGCAGTCCTACTCTGTCAAATGGGGTTGCTGTGAGTCATACTCAACTTGATGTCACCTAATAACAACACTCACATATGGCTCAGTGGTTGGTTTATGTCCAACATTAAGATTAATTATGTAAAATTTCTAAAATTCATTCATTATCTGTCTCACAGCCTCATATGCTGCTGTTGTCATTAGCTGCCGACTTGGCTCTGACTCATAGCTAACCTATGTACAGTAGAAAGAAACACTGCCTACCCCGGTGCTATCCTTACAGTATTTGTTATGCTTGAGCCTGTTGTTGCAGCCACTGTGTCAATCCATCTCGTTGAGGGCCTTCTCCTTTTTCACTGTCCCTCCACTTTACCACGCATGATATCTTTCTCCAGGGACCAGTCTCTTCTGACAGCATGACCAAAGTCTGTGAGACAGAGTCTGGATATTCTCACCTCCAAGGAGCATTCCAGCTGCACTTCTTCCAAAACGGATTAGTTCATTCTTCTGGCAGTCCATGGTATTTCCAGTATTTGTTGCCAACAACACAACTCAAATGCATCAATTCTTCTTGAGTCTTCCTTATTCATTGTTTGGCTTTCACATGTATAAGAGGCAAATGAAAAATACCATGGCTTGGGTTAGGCACATCTTAGTCTTCAAAGTGACATCTTTGCTCTTTAACACTTTAAAGAGGTTGTTTGCAGCAGATTTGCCCAATGCAGTATGTTCTTTGATTTCTTGACTGCTGTTTCCATGGTTGTTGATTGTGGATCCAAGTAAAATGAAATCCTTGACAACTTCAATCTTTTCTACATTTATTGTGATGTTGCTTATTGGTCCAATTGTAAGGATTTTTATGTTCTTTATACTGAGGTGTAATCCATACTGAAGGTAGTAGTTTTTGTTCTTCATCAGTAAATGTGTCGAGTCTTCTTCTCTTTAAGCAAGACAGGTTGTGTCACCTGCATATATCAGGTTGTTAATAAAGTCTTCCTCCAATCCTAATGCCATGTTCTTCTTCATATAGGCCAGCTTCTTGGATTATTCACTCAGCATACAGATTGAATAAGTATAATGAAAGGATATAACCCTGACATACCTCTTTCCTAATTTTAAACCATTCAGTATCCCCTTGTTCTGTTCAAACAATTGCCTCTTAGTCTATGTACAGGCTCCTCAGGAGCCCAATTAAGTGTTCTGAAATTCCCATTCTTTGCAATAATGTCCATAATTTGTTTTGATACACACAATTGAACACTTGGTGTAGTTAATAAAACATAGATAAGTTTTTGGTATTTTTGCTTTCAGCCAGATCCATCTGATATCAGAAATAGCCTCATATAGTTAGGGGAAATCTGAACATTCTAGTCTAAGTTATGACACAAAATAGTTGTGTAGCCTGGGGCAGTCACCTAACCTTTCTGTATCAGTTTCCTCCTCTGAAGAATGAGTATAACAGTATCTTCTCTACCTATCTCACAGGACTACTGTGGGAATTAATTGACATCATGTGTACTTTGCAAAAACTTTTTGAGAAGCTTCTTATGCATGAAGGAAATAAAGCAATATATTAGTCTCAAATTCATCCTCCACACACTCTGCTAGGTACACCAACCTCTGTTCAACTTATAATCGCTTAGTCTGCTCTCAGCAACACACCTGCTATGTTCCCTTTTCTTTAGTATACGTGGGACTGAGCTTCAGAGTTACATAATTCCAGGGGACTCCATTCACAAAAGAAGTCCTGGTGGTGCAACAGTTAAACACTCAGCTGCTAACTGAAAGACTGACAGACAAGGAGAAAATCAAATGATCTGCTTTCTTAAACAGTACAGCCTAGAAAACTCTATAGGGCAATCTACTCTGTCCATGAGGTTGCTATGAGTTAGTTTCAAAACTGCCTCTAATGCACCTAACAACCATTCACAAATAATACAATGTTAATGGCGCTCTCTGCAGGTGCTTGGAATAGGGAACAGCTTTAATAGTAATTTAGGCTCGACTCTGTTTACGCTTGGAATGGAAAGCTGGCATGTATTTGTTCTGTCATTCTTTGGTCTTCTAAAGTAGCAAGTCAAGAACACAATAGAAGAGCTTAAGCTGAGGAAGGCAGTTCACAGGAAATCAGTTTTTACACCTTTCTGAAAGGGCCACCAAAAATGAGCTTAGAAATGTTCTCTGCCAGTGCTACTCAAAATGTGGTCCGTAGACCCATAGCAGCAGCAGCAGCAGCAGCACTTCCTGGGAGCTTGTTAGAAATGCAGATTCTCAGGCATTCTGGCCCTACTAAATTACAAACTGTGGGGGTGGGGCCTAGACATCTGTGTTTTAACAAGCTCTGCAGGGGACTCTGGTTCACAGCAAAATTGAAGAAGTACTTTTTTAAATCATACACTCCTGGTTATACGTTATCCCTTTCTTAGCTGAAATGAAGCTCTGTTGAGTTCCAATTACACAGTGAAATAGACAGTGCTCCACAAACTGACTCCTTTGGGTAAATAAAACATCATCTGAATTCCAGGAAGGGTTTGTGTGTTGTGGGAGAGAGGGAGTTTTGTGATCAGAAATTGAAAGAGTTTGTGGAAAGGGAAATGGTACCTGGGACAGCTCTGCTTTACCGCCATGCCTTGCTGTCCTTGCATCTGCTTGATCTCTCTTGTCTTTCATCACCCTCTGAGTGTCAGTTTCCCCCCTCATAGCAGTGTGGTTTGCAGAGCAGTAAAGGAGTTCTTTGGGACGGACCAATTTCTATTCTTCTAGAAAAGAAACTGGAACAATTTATTAGATTTTAAAATGAGGAAACCCTAGCATGTCTTTGATAGGCAGACAAAAGTAATCATCTCCCCTGCCTCTAATACAGCACTCCCAACCAGGTTTAATTATGTGTTTAAGACGGAAAGTGGAGCTGAAGTAAAGCCTCGTAATTAACTAGGAGATGGTGAAGAAACTCCTTGGAGGATTGCTCCCAAAAAACAAGACTTGGGAAATAAATCTGTTCTTTGGCATAAACCTGAATTTCCATAAATTGGTCAATTTATACTACAGGACCATAATATACTTGTAAAGCTGTTTTGATTGGCAACTCAGATGAACAATTACTGGGTCCTGCCAACCACTCTCTCTCCAAGGATAATTCTGACAAGCTTGGTCTCTAGAACCCCTCCTGAAGACCTGAAACTCTTCTAGGTCCAACCCTCATACAATCTTCTTTACCAAATAGTAAAATGTTAGTCTTTGTATTTGGAGGAACAGATTCTTAGGCCACAAAACGAATTGATGTTTGCTAACTACAGTTTGCAGTTCTCCATTTAATGGAGTCAGGTCTTGTAACATTTTTAAGTGCCAAATTTTCTTTCCATCCTATATTCTGGAGCTCAAACTAAAAGAAGCAGGTCATGGCCAAAGAGGCTCTTTTGTAGTAGTATGTAGGCTGGTGTGTTCTCTGCTCAACCTATGACGTCTATACCTGTGAGTGCCCTCTGGAATCTCTGAGGCAGGAGATGTGTCCTGTGGAGATGTCTAAAGCTCACTGGTTCAATGGTGCCATTTCTTCAATTCCATTTTCTCTTGGTTTAAATTTCAAATGGTTAAATAGACTCAAAAATTTTCATTCATTCTCGCTTCTGTGTTTTGAGGTTAAAATGAAACAATGTCAGTAAGATATTTCAAGTTTGAGGGCCAAAGAGTTTGCATTATAACCACTCCTCTTCTCGATGCTCTTAGGGCAAACTTTGTATTACTCAGTACACTTGTAGAGTAGGCATTACCTCTCACCAAAATTCTGAATATGAATTGCAGAATCTTTCACCTCTTCTAAGTCATCAGGAGCTTAATTATCAATGTACTTTGGATACGAGGAGATGCCAATTAATAAAAAGTTCTAGTTAACAGAATTCCGGTGAGTAGTGATTCCTTTAATATTGTTGTGTGATTACACAACAGCCATGGTATATCTTTGCAGGAGTCACCAGCAGGAAAAGGAGAGATCTTGCTACCAGGTAAATTATTCAAAGTATGCAGGTGACTAGCAAACTATCTAATGCAAGTATGAGTTACACAACTCAGGGTAGCACTTTCATGATATCTAATCTATGCTAACTCTGAAAAGAACGGCACTGTCTGTCTTAACTCCTTGCTATTAGAATTCAGAAATCAACAAGCAGCCAGGGTTTCCAGATTTCACTTTAAATCAAATTTAAATTAGTGAAGCAAAGCAATACCAGATTATATTAGGTGAGATATCTAAAATGGCCCAGAATCCCAATAAGGGATGGACAGGGCAGGTTTGCAATTGGTTTATGAGCAAAGGAGAGAGCTCCACCTCTCCTTTTTCCCCTAGGAACCTCATCTGCCACAAGTTATATCAGGGCCTTAAAAATACAGCCTTGGACACACATCCTTCCAGGCACACAGCCCAGGGCTCACCTTAAGACAGCTATGTGCATAAATGTTTTACTTCATTTCCATCATTACTTCACCTCCATTAAAACTCTGAGATGCAATTAAAGGATTTCCACTAATAGGTAGCTTATTATTTTTAATGGACCAAAAGAATTAAACTAAGGCCCTTTGTTTCAGAATAGTTAAGAGACAAGCAAAGAAAGACTCTGCTTCCCCCAAATAAGCAGATTATTTCCCCAGAGTAATAGCCACATACCTGGGCATGACCATAATGAATAATTTTCCCTACTGGAGTATGCATATCCTCTCTGCCTCATTTCCAGGGCTGTCAGACCACGTGGTTACCTGTTACCGCATCCTCCTGTCAGCAGCAGCCAGCCTGACCTCACACAGCTGCAACAGCAGCTGCCAACAGCTTTATGTGTTTCCAGCTGCCAAGGCCCATGTCCACAGCTGTGGCCAATCATTCATTCAGTGAACTATGTTGAACAATGACTCTGTACTAGGCAATGGCCCACATGCCCCTGTCACCAATCACTTTCAGGCAGGGAAATTGCTTCCTGCCACCTTCCCCACCCTGTGCAGTGCCCCATAGGCTCTGAGGTCAGAGAGAACTGGTTTATAATCCAGGCTCCATCATTGCAAACTGTGTGATCATAAATTACTGAGTTAGCCTCTTGAGCCCTCAGTTCCTCTCGATGCAAAGAATAAAATGATCTTATATATAAATTATGTACCCCAGTGCCTACAACATAGTGCAGAAACCAGGTCTTCTCAGCCTTAATACTATTGACATATTGGGTTGGACACTATGTCATAGGGTTTGTACTGCATATTGCAGTGTATAGTAGCATCTCTGGCTATTACATACTACTAGCAATCTCCCTCAGTTGTGACAGTATCTTCAAATATTGCCAAATGTCTACTGGGGGACAGAATCACCCTTGGTTGAGAACCACTGTGGAAAAACAGAAATAATGGAATTGACTATTACTAACATCATCTTCACCACCATCAATGGAGAGCTAGCACATTTCAAACATGCCATTGAAAATACAAATTCTATCTACAGGGAGGGAGCTCTAGTAGCATAGTCTCTAAGGCACTTGACTGGTAACCAGAAGGCTGGCGGTTCAAACCCACCAGCCACTCCTCGGAAGGAAGTTTGGGCAATCTACTTCCATAGTGATACCTCCTCGGAAACCCAAGGAGGGGTCGCTATGAATCAGGTCCGCCTCAACAGCACATAACAACAACAAAACCTATAGGGAAGAAAGGCATGTAGGATCCAGAAAAATCAGGACTAAACTTACCCGTACAATGATCCTTTCAGAGATGTGGGCAGACAACAGATAGAACTGGTCTTGGTTAGCAGCATATAGTCCAACTACCAACATGAAGTATCTAATTCAGAAACAGCAGAGAAAGACCAGATGCATAATGTGGGCAATTAAATACCACCCAACAGCTAATTGATAGTAAATTTACCTGAATGGTTTGTGAATTTAAAGGTTGCCTTTGTTTTTCTTTTGCTTTAAATTACCTCTCCTGCAAAATGAGAGAGCATTGCTATTGTTCTGGGTCAGCCCTTTGCCTGGCTTGAGTTGTTTGCAAATTGCTTTGCAGGCCCCAAAGCAGCAGGAATGCAAACTTCTCTGGGGGTGGTGGGGATTTGCACTTCCTCCATCTGTGCTGACTTGGTGCAAGCCTCACCCTGCAGTGTTTCAGGGCCCTCAGCACAGCACTGCACACAAACACGTAAATAACAGGAAGCCACCTTAGAGGTTCCTTTATCCAGGTCCCCCAAGCCAGATGTCCTAGACTGAATGGAGGGCAGTTCAGCAGAATTTGCCCAACCACACTGGATCCTTCCCATACAGTTGCTCCAGGACCTCTGCCCTGCACCTTCCACATCGTTGGTCAAGTCTTTAGCCAAAGACTGAACTCTCCTCTCTAATTGTTTCTCAGTCTTCATCACCATTATCCATCTGTTATTTCAATTGCTTCTTCTCATGTATCACTGATAAGTTTAGACCATCTTGTGAAACCCAAAACCAAAACTAAGCTTTGGAGCAGCTTTTGCTTTAACAAGTGCATGAAAAACCTCCGCTAACTCCCTCTATAAGACCCTACAGATTCTCCAGTCCCTAGAGATCAAGAATTCTTCCATCTGTTTAAAGTAAATCAATAATGATATTCATTATCATCATTATTATTCTTATCTACCTTCTGCTGAGTGTTCAAAATGTGTCACTCACTGGGCTATACTGTTTACATACATTATTTCATTTAGATCCTCAAAACAACACTATTGAAGTCGGATATTGTTACTGCTTCCAATTTACAGAATAGAAAAAAGAGATTGAGTTATACGCCCAACCTCACCCAGTTAGTAATGGCAGGATCAAATACTCAAACTTCATTCTGCCCAACTCCAAAACTGTGTTCTAAGCAAGTGTTTCTCAAACTTTTGCTTGCATCAGAATTGCCTAGACAGTGGCAGTATGTGAAAATACAAATGACTGAGTCCCACCCTTGAGTTTCTAGTTGAGCAGGTTTGGGAGGAGGCCTGAGAATTTGCATTTCTAACAAGTTCACAGGTGATGCCAACTCTGTAAGTTCTGAGCTCATCTTTGAGAAACAACAGGTTTAAATATTAATGCAAATTTCTTGTTTTATTCAAAAAAGCTATAGGAGAGCTTTAGGCCTCAGAGCATAATAATGACAACCAGCCCACAGACATGTGAGGTTCAGTCAAGCCTCCACCCACAGATGGCAATGAGACATAAACCTCTGGTGACAATAGAGAATCTTGGAGGGAATCAAGGCAAGCTGATATAGGGCTAATCAGGAGAGTAGGCATTTCAGGGAGTGAAGATGGAAGAAGAAATATTTTAACAAACTGACAGGAATTCCTGGGTAGTACAAATGGTTAATGCCCTAGGCTGCTAACCAAAAGGCTAGAGCTATGAATCCACACACAGGAACCTTGGAAAAAAGGCCCTGCAATTTACCTCTGAAAAATCAACCACTGAAACCCTTACAGAGCACAGCTCTGCTCTGACACACACAAGGTGCCAACAATCAGAGATGACTTGATGGTCAGGTTTTTTTTTTTTTTTTTTTTAATGAACTGGCAGTCACAGAAGAGAAGAAAGTGGCTCAGGGAGTCCTTGTTTGCTGGCTGGTAGGGCCAAGAAGATTAGAGGGGCCTCAGAAGGGTACTACTCCATCTATTAATTTTCCCACCCCCCTGGATTCTGGAGTGGACACAGTAACACTAGTACCTCTGATCAGGATTTGGCTTTCCCTTCTTTCTCATGTTATTTGCTGTGGTTTCACTGAAGTGTAATCTTCCCAGTGTTACTTTGGTGACCTGGTCAGGCAGTAGGTCAATTCTAAAAGAGAGCAGAAACACCAAGAAACTGTAAGAGAACACAGGGTCTTTCATCATGTCTAACCTGTTCTTTGATTCTCGGGTATGTTCAGTTCCCAGTTCTCATCACACTGTTAAGATGTAGTTCATCCAGTCACAGATTACTAATAAACTGTCCACAGCATGATCAGGAATGGCTCTAAGGGAAGGTCATGGAAGAATTCTTGAATGGTGAGAAATGCTCATTTAGTAGAAGCTCAAGTCCAGAGTTTTTGAGTCATTAGGGCCTTATGCTGCATGTACCACAAATGGGTTCTTTAACCACCATAAGGGGAAGAAAAGGTACAATTTATTTACCTTTTTCTGCCACTGCTGCCACAGCATTGTATCCCGACTGAAGGACTTTCTCTAGGTTTCCCATGAACACCTTCACACCTTCACTCCTTCACACCTTCACACATTTGCTGTCTCCTAGTGCCGAAGGCACTTGACAGCTAACCAGAAGGCTGGCAGTTCAAACCCACCAGCCATTCCTCGGAAGGAAGGTTGGGCATTCCTACTTCTGTAGTGATACTGCCTTGGAAACCCAAAGGGGTCGCTATGAGTCAGGGCCGACTCAACGGCATTTAACAACAACAACAACAACAGAGACCACACACAACCTGCCTGGGCAAAGAAGATCTAGATGCCCCAGGCAAGTTTGCTGAAGTGGCTCTTATTTGAACGCAGTGTGTATGGAGAGTGTGGGGGGAGCTACTCTCTGTTCTCAGCAGGCTCTGGGATCATCTTCCCAGACCAATAGAACTGATTGAGGGTCAAAACAGTGAGATGGTTCAACTGCACCAGATACGATTAAGTCGATTCCTACCCATGGCAACCCCATGTGTGTCAGAGTAGAACTATGCTTCACAGGGCTTTCAATGGCTAATTTTTTAGAAGTAGATCTCAAGGACTTCTTTTCAAGGTATCTCTGGGTAGACTTCAACCCCCAATCTTTCCGTTAGCAGCTAAGCACATTAACAGTTTACACAACTTCAGCTGTACCCCCGCCCCTTGCCACATCAAGCAAAAAGGAAATGCCACTCCAAGTCATTCTACTGAGAGCACTCTAGCTTGGACCTCCATATTTCTTTGTATAGTCCAAGCCATGTATCTAGCTTATAGTAAATTATCAATGTAGTTTTGAGAAAAAAGAAAAAAATGAATTGTAAGCATAGCATTGATCCAGATCCTTAAAATTAATATAATCAGCATTGTACTGACTTAGATGGAAAAATTTACCCATAATATATTATAAGGAAGCAAAGTTGTTAATAATAAATGATTATAATATTGGATCTTTTTATAAAGAATTGTTTGCAATTATTTCAATGCATTTTACTAATTTAATTTTTGTTGGTAATATGTGTTCAAGATATTAACACATTACTAATTCAGTTTCTAAGCAAGTTTGGTTTTAGATAAGGAAGATAAATTGGAAAAATAGGTCTTCTTCCTAAAACATTCACAAAGGCATGCAGGAAATAAATTCTTACTTAACAGGATTGAAAATCTTTTTGCTTCTATCTGCTTGGGACTGTTCAATGGCAATTATTTGATTGGTGGCTTCTACCTGTATGGAACAACGAAAAAGTAAAATTAATTAATAAAGAATGTTCAACAACTTAAAAATTTTCCAAGATACCATGGTACACACTGGCCAGGAGGGGCAGGTTACTGAAAAAATATCTAAGGCAATGCCACCTGTCTTAAAGCAGTGTGCTATTGCTGAGGAAAATAATAATAATAATAATAATAATAACTGTAAGATTAAACAGGAGCTCTGGTGGCGCAGTGTCTAAGGCATTTGACTGCTAACCAGACGGCTGGCGGTTCAAACCCACCAGCCACTCCTCAGAAGGAAGGTTGATCAATATACTTCTGTAGAGATATCACCTTGGAAACCCAAGGAGGGGTCACTATGAGTCAGACCCGACTCGAAGACAGTGAGCTTGGTAAGATTAAACAATGAAAACACAAGACAGCAGAGTATTTCTGGTAAACAATGTATACAGGGTGGGCTAGGAAATTATTAAGGCATGAGGAGCAAGGCAGCTGAAGGCATGCATGCATTCATTCATTCTATAAACACTCATTGAGCACCTACTATCCAAAAGGCAGGAGCTCTGGTAGCATAGTGCCTAAGGCACTTGACTGCTCACCAGAAGGCTGGCGGTTCAAACCCACCAGCCACTCCTCGGAAGGAAGGTTGGGCAATCCTACTTCCGTAGTGATACTGCCTCAGAAACCCAAGGAGGGGTCGCTATGAGTCGGGGCCGACTCGACGGCAAACAACAACAACAACAACAACCGCCTTGGAAATCCAAAGAGGGGTCGCTATAAGTCACTATGAGTCGCTCCCACTCGATGGCACATAACAACAACAACAACATCCAAAAGGCATTACTCTAGGCGTTAGAGATAAGAAGTTAACAAAATTAAAAAAAAAAAAAAAAAACTACCCTTATAGAGCTTACATTAAAAAAACAAATAAACAAAAACTTAACAACAAACAACATAATTAAACCCACTGCCATCAAGTTGATTCCAACTCACAGCAACCCTGTAGGACTGAGTAGAACTGCCTCAGAGGGTTTCCAAAGCTATAAATCTTTAAAAAAGCAGACTGCCTCATTTTTCTCCTGCAGAGCAGTCAGTGAGTTCAAACCACCAACTTCTTTGGTTAGTAGCTGTTTTGGTTACCTAGTACTGCTTGAAAAGAATATACCACAAATGGGATGGCTTGAACAAACAGGAGTTTATTCTCTTACAGTTTGGAGGCTTTAAGTCCAAGTTCAAAGTGCCAGGCTCTAGGGCCTAGGTGAAAGCCCCTCAGCCTTGAGCTTCAGCTCACTGGAGCTAGAGGCTTTTCTTCACTCAGACAGCTGCTTGCTGCTGAGACTGACAAGCCCAAGGTTGACAAGTAGAAAGGCACAGTCCCAATGTTACCAAACCACATGGCAGGCCATTCATTCAAGTCCATTGAAAGTCCCAAGGTCAGCAGAGCATGGCAGGCTGCTGAACAATGGCACGGCTACATGCAGGGTTCAAGTGTGCCATAAGCTAGAGACCATTCCCAAAGCTGTTTCTTATATATGGGAAGCAGATCACATACCCAAAGGCAGCTACTCAGCTGCTCCCAATAGATTCCACCATGGAGTTGATTACCAGTCTCACCATGGGGAATACTAACTACATCCAGCTGCCCAGCCACTCAAACAGGCCCAGCCAAGTTAACACACAAACTTAACCATCACAGTAGCCGAATGCTTTAATCACTGCACAACCAGAGCTCCTTTAAAAATAAATAAATAGCATATAGGAAATCACATTTATTTAGTACTTGCTGACAATTCTTTTTGTTATTCAGTAAATAGTTGCAAAGACTTGGTGAAACCTCCACTGCCATTAAGTTGATTCCTACAATAGCAACCCTCCTTATCAGTTTCAAGCCTATAACTCTTTATAGAAATAAACTACTTCATCTTCCTCCCATAGAGAAACCTCTGGGTTTGAACTGCTGACCTCTGGTCAATAGTCCAATGCCTTAACAACAGTGCCACCAGAGCTCCTTTTGGTGAAACAAGCCCTGTCATATACAGCTTGTGGGTGTTCACATTGTAACAATCTTTCTTGAAAACAACTGGGCAACCCACATCAAGATCTTTAATAATACTCACATCTTTGATGGTTAAATTTTCCTTCCAGGATTTTTTTTTTAATTGTGCTTTAGGTGCAAGTTTACCCCCCTCCACAATTTATCCTTATGCAAAAGTGAGCATACAGGGAACCCCACTGCAGAATTACTAATGACAATACAAAATTGGAAATAAACAAAATTTCCAATAAGTCATGAATTAATGATACATCCATACAATGGACAACTACATTATCTTTGTATTTTTAAGAGTCTTTAATATTTTAAGGGAGCTCTGGTGGCATAGTGATGTAGTGCTAAGGCATTTGACTGCTAACCAGAAGGCTGGCAGTTCAAACCCACCAGTCACTCCTCGGAAGAAAGGTTGGGCAATCTACTTCTATAGTGATAGTGCCTCAAAAACCCAAGGAGGGGTCACTGTAAGTCGGATCCAACTTGAGGGCAGTGAGTCTTGTGAGTCTTAGTCTTAATATTTTAAATATTAAAATGTTAAATATTTTAATAGTCTTTAATCATATAATGTTATTTTCACAATATAATATTACCAATTGCCAATTCATTTTAATAACAGAAAAAAAATTCAGGGAAAATTGAGGTAAATGGTATAGTACAAAAGCAAAAAAGCAAACTCACTGAGCAGAACAGACTCAGAACACATCCCTGAGAAAGAAGCAGCATTGGAACTCAAAAGGATTCTAAAGAATTATATTTAGGTACCTTCAACAGATTGAGAGACAGATCAAGGAAAACAGTGACAACATTGAGGAAAACACAGACAAAA